AGAAATTTTTACCAAAGTATGTTATAAACTTTTCATTAAGACCCTAAAAACTCATATCAACTTGCAGAAAATGGGCATCCGATGACCCCTTTAAAAGTCGTGTAGTGAATTTCAAAAACAGACACACAATCTCGTCCCTCTTATCCATGCGTTTTGGACATTCACAGAAAAACATTGTGCTGCATGAAGTCGTTATAGCGTTTGGGTGGAAAAATGTCAAATGGTGACGAAAACAACATGAATCAGAGTGAATAAGATACTGCTTTATTCTATATAGTTTTATATTCCAACGAAAAGTCAATTCTGGAAAACTTGAAAATACTCTGCAATATATAACACGAGGATGAGCAATACTAGAGCCATTATGTTAGCACATCACATGCCGTGTCATTCTTCCAATAAGGGCACTGACACCGCAAATATGAATGTTAACCAGGAGTTTAGGAATGTACACTATGAAATGTCAGTTTATGAATACCCAGGATTTATTGTTAACCCCAGGTAAATTATGAGCAGTGTGAAACATGATAATTCAGGATTCCATTCACCTGGACTAGAATAACCCAGGATTAACTATTGCAAATTGAAAAACCCTTTGATCTAATTTTTTTTAACTTTTTTTCTTCAAATCAGTTTGTAATTTTGTGATTCACCTCATAGCTGGTTGGTTTAGTCCACGGATTCTAACATTTTAACAAGGACTTTAATAAATCCCAAGCAAACAGGTGGTGGTCCTGCACCCCCAGGTCACACCCTGATAGAAGAGCTGGCACTTGGATGTTTGGGGCATCCCTGGGGGCAGCTCTTCCTTAGACCCACAGCCAGGAAGCAGTAGCAGCAGCACCTTCATAACCTGGTAAAGAGGCTTTTAATTATTTTTGTATAGGCTACTGTAAAATAATTGGTAGCTACCTTGCATTTGGTGTAATCCAAATGTCAGCTACACCCATTTCAGCTGGTAGATCTTGAGTAGTGCTGAATTGCGTTGACATGAAAGGAAGGCAGTTAAACCTACTTTTGAGTAAATGAAGAAATGTTGCTATGGTTCTTTTCCTGTGTACCTCATTGTAATGAAACAGTATTCTCTTTTTGTGCAGTTTTACAAAACACACCCACACTTTTTGTGGTGGCTGAAGCATGTGCAGTAAGTGGACTTGTTATATGTGTATATTGGATCATCAAAGGTCAGTAGCAAAGACATTGGTTAATAAAATGGGATTAAATACATAAACTATATTTGTTTTATTTAATTATTGCTGGTTTGTATAATATTCTGAGCTTGCGTTTGACTGTTTTTATTCATTTTGAGGAACACAATCTGTTTTTGTGCAGGTGAGATGAGTAAATGCGTGTTCACATTTAGTCTAGAACTACAGTAACATCATGTTCACACAGCGCACACAACACCTCTGCATTTACTCCCGATTTCTCTCAACATGGCAACACAAGAGTTGTCGGTCAATACATGGGACACAAAGTAACTGGAGTTACTTATTTGAAAAAGTAACTCGGATGTTTCCTTCTAAATTAAAGTAATGAGTTACTTTACTAGTAAAAAGTAATCTGATTACGTAACTCGCATTACTTGTAATGCGTTACCCCCAACACTGGTCAGGTGCAACCCTCAGACTTTTCAGACACTGAAATCTTCCCTTTAGTTGCCAATGTCAATGTGTGCCCTTGTCAATGTGTGCCAAGGTCATGTCAATGTGTGCCCTTGTCCTGGCTAGAGCTGCATTGTAACGGGGTTGGTGTCAGGGAATGGGGTCATAAGATACTGCCTACAGGCATAGCCCGTCTCCGACCAGGATCCCGTTGTAATCACCTGTACAATGGCAAAATGCAGTTCTGTTAGGCCCAGAATAAGTTTGTGTAATAATACAGTGAGCTTGACATTAATATTTTCTTACCACGTTCAAATAATGTGCATAAATGTGACTCTGAAAATTCTTGAGTCATGCACAGATCCTGGCCATTTGGCGTCCACATTTGAGACATGGCACATAGTCACACACCATCTAAGATATTGTAGTCACTCAACTGCATACTTATGTAATTGTGTATATTACCAATCTAAAAATATTAAGAATTGTAATAGTAACTCACCTGCACATTTATAGTGTGAACCCCCTTTCGGTTCACAAAATCCCCTTCATTGGGGCCTGGTGGGGCCTTGATATGAATGTGTGTGCAGTCTATGGCACCAATCACATTAGAGAAGCCTGGGGGACAATCGATTCATATTTATTAGCGTGGTCATATTCACACGATCTTCATTAACAAGTAGAATACCTGCAATGGTGAAAAAGCTCTGTTTTACAACTTGGGGTCTTAAGTGGCTAGGAAAAACCCCTAAAAACTGCTTGAGCGCTAGATAAACTTTGCGAATGGCACGACAGACAGCACTTTTGGCCAAGTTCTCCACATCCCCAATAGTGTACAGGAAAGTGCCACTCACAAAGAATCTCAACGCGATGCACACAGTTTGTACTGTAGTTAAAGCCCGACTCCGACGAGTCGAACTTTTAATATGAGGTTCCAACAAATTATGTAAATGACGGTATCTTTCAAAAAGTACACTATCGCGCTGTGCTAATGGATCCTGAGCAGGTTTAAGCTTATGGACCTGTTGCTATGACAGCAACTCCGAGATGAGCTTCGAAGAACCAACCAATCCAAGATCAAGTGAAATCGTCAACGATTAAATCCAGCTAACTGAGTTAGCGACGTACGAAGAACGGACCCCTGGACAGCGAAAATCTCTCAAATCAAATAAATACCTCTGTGAAGATTTTAAACTTCTCTCTCACTAATAACAAATTGGTTCTAGGGATTGAGTAATGAGGCAGGAAACATTCGACACCCATTCATTCAGTTCAAGCCGATCTTGAGTAGGCAAACAAAGCTCTTCTATGAAACTTCTTGATCTGCAAAGCTATTCTTCAGTTAATACATGAGTGAGTTTACATTTCAGCTTACTTGCATAGTTCATCTTCCCTTTCTAGCAATAATAAAGGTAATGGAGTAAGGTAACACGTTTAAACGGTGGGCTGTAGGGCATAATTTTAACCACTAGAAGGCGCTAGAGCTGCTTAATATCCATAATACCAGAGTTCAACACTGCAGTGCCAGAAAAATGTGCTAGACAGGGCTCATGAGACTGCGAGGATTGTAATTAGTGTGATGATTAAATTAATCGCGAATGTTGACTTTTCTTCACAAGATCAATAATTGTGAAAGCAAAATGTCAACAAATAAGAGCCTAAGCAATGCACATTTACAGTAAATCATGTTGCAAAAGATGACATGATCAGTCATTATTATTGCCTTTCTGTCTTCCCTTGAAAAAGGTAAGTGTGGATGTTCTTACTGATGAACTATCAATAAAATATTATCCTTCACCATATCATCACCCAGATTTGAATTCATAAACTGTAAAATCCTTTATTTTATTTTTTTTTAGTAAACTTGCCTTATTACTGTAATATATGTATATATTTAAATCAATTAAATTAATACATTTGTGCAATACAGCTGAAACTGAAACCATAAAAAACATTTTTGTTACTTGAAATAAAATAAACGTTAACTGAGATCAAATGTTTTTAAAAACTGTTTATTTTAGATTTCTTATTGTAATTTGTAACTTGATTTAACTTGTGCTAAAATAACTAATACTAAAATAAATAAAACTATATAGTTATGAATTAATAAAAAAAACGACTAAACTTGTCAAATTAAAACGGCAGAAAATATAAAAATTAAAAAACTATCACGATATAGTTATTTCTGCTTTAAATAAGGTCTTTATAGGTCTCTACAGTAAAAAAGAAATGCTACATTGTGTAATCAAATGTATAAAAACGGCACATTCTTCACTATGTACATTAAAATCTATATTTCTTCTAATAAAGTTACAAAAGTTATTTAGTCAAGAGCAGTGAGATTTTCTCTTTTGTTGTTTGATTAACATGAATGACCGACAGCAGGAATATTAGACTGCTGTCACTTTAAGAGCTGCCCAGATCCAATATACTGTTACAAATGTGTTTTCTTTCTCAGCTGTTTGCTTTCACTTAAGACCTACTGTGTTTACAAGGATACTTGCATAGACAGGCATTTTGACACATACAAGTAAGTGTGTGTATTTAAGTTCAATACTCCTGTGCTCTATGTGCACCGTCTTTGAGTTCTTTTTCACTGCTGATTGCATTCCAATGGTTTAAAATCACTTGTTTTTAAACCGTAATGCTTAAAAACGTGTGCAGACAATAGGTTTTCATGACCACGTAGCACAGCAATGTCACATGAGCATGTAGCCGTGGTAAAGACGATAGTCCAAAATCTACCGGTTGACCAATTTCTACCAGTTAATGGTGTCTACCGGCACCCCTAATCTCAATTACGTAATACTGGTAATTATTTCACTGAATGATCTCTCTTTGTCTATTGTACTACATTAAAATAGTACAAAATACAGTTAATATGCTTATACAAGCATATTCACATAAGAGATAACAAAAATATAATTAACTGAAAAATGTACAAGATAAATGGGGGAAAATGGTTCTAAAAGTGCCAGGTATAGTGAATAGTTTATAGTTTGTCAGAGAGTTCAACAACTTTTTTTTGCAGTGTTTTGGGTTTAACCAGCAGCCTTCAGTTAAATTATATGCCCGATCTGGCTGGACTATATTTAGCAACACTTTTGCCAAAGTATGCAGGGACAACACCATGAAGACATTTAAAATCAGTTCTGTAAGATCAAGGTAGCAGTGAAAGGATTTAAGCTCATTCTGTGACACAAGGTAAGTCACTTAAATTCCCTTCACTCTGGGATTTGGATGACAATATGTGAGCTTACTCATACTAAATGCCACAACAGACACAAAAAATGAGGAATGTGAATTCTGTCCTGGTGAGAATGGGCAGAGAAGATTCTGATTGGCTGAGGGAGCTGTCAGCACTGGGTTTTGAAGCTTGTGGTCAGATTAAAATGAGAGAATGAAAGAACCGTGGCAGCAAAAAGAGGGGCCAAGATAGCAGGAAGGACTCACTTTAAGCCTTGAGAAAAGCCGTCATGACGCTCATTGAGATTATCTTCATCTTGACCGGGACTTGTGCCGTCCTGGTTTTTGGAGGGAAATTAGTATGCCTGCTTATGATGCTTGTCCCGAAGCTCTTCTGTCCTCTTCCTGAGACTTTTTTCACCTCTCTGGGGAAATGGGCAGGTGAGATACACCAGCATTTTGATTTTCATTTTTGTGTTGAGCATGCATTTTCTATATAAACCAGCCTTTTTATACTTGAAAGGTTTTTGCAAATAAATAAAGAAAATTATAATAAATGCATGAAATAAATGATTAATAAATAAATAATAAGAGAGAAAGTAACAATGTTAAACTTGTGACATACGCTAACAATAAAAAAGCTGGATTTTGTTGGTAACCCTTTATAATATCTTTCATTAAGAACACTATTTCACATTACTACATTAAATATTGCTTAAAATATAATTAGTTTTAAAGTTTCAAATGAGCTAACAGTTAGAAATGTCATGATTTCAGCATTTAAGAAAATGCAATGCTTATATCTTCTGAACTGCCCCCCTGCTGTAACTTGAGGGAACCCTGGTTGAGAACAGTGGATTTAAAGCAGTGAACCATGTAGCCCTCCTACAAACCATCACTACCTTGGTTTTGTTCCACCGTTTGGCTCAGGAACAAGGTTCTCATCTCACTTTAAATTGTCCCTCACAAAGTGTCTTGCTTTTTTTGTTGTTGGCAAAAGAGAGACCCTCCTTATGGCTTTCTTGAAATCCTACCGAGTATACAAGTTCAGCAACAAAAAACAACAATTCCAGCCACTTTTCCCAAGCTTCCTTTCCATTCCATTCCGGCACTGAGAGTGGCAGAGAACAAAAGGCAATTAGAACAGTATGTTCCAGGACGTTATTACTCTTTTTTTATTTCTTGACTTTGAATGGTTGTTCCTGTTCATTTGAAAACAAATTAACATTACTTTTTTCTCCTTCTGCAACTATTCTTTCTCTTTAAGGCTTTGAAAAAATTGTGTGTGTGTGTGTAAGAGAGAGAGAGGGAGAGTGCATGCATTACAATGTCCCTTTGCAGGGGGTGTTTTCTAGCATGTTTAGACACAGTACATCTGCTATTCCTTTCACTATAAATAAATAATCATGTAGAGAGTTTTGTAAGTTGTTCTGCATATTCTTGTTGGTTTAGCCAGTATGAGTGCATGATAGAATGCCGTAAGATTTGCATTCTTATTCTAGAGACATATTAGGTTTCTAAAGGATCATGTAACACTGAAGACTGGCGAAATGACTGGTTAAAAACTCAGCTTTGCCATCACAAGAATATTTTAAAATATATTTAAAAAGAAAACAGTTCATTAATTTTTTAGTATTTTGCAATACCACTGATTTATTTTATTATAAATCAAATAAATGCAGCCTTGGGGCCCTACAGAGCACGATTTTACTGAGGGGGCCCCTCAGGGACCACTTGCTTATAGGGCCCCCAAAAATTATAATAAGTAATACATTTGTTTTTACATAATTTATTAATCATTCTTAACATTAGTTAATATAAATATAAGTGTTCATTGTTAGTTCATAGCTTGGGTATATTAAAATTATTTATTTATTTATTACAATTGTACTTATATAATACATTTTAAAAGTTGAGGCAAGCCAGCTAAAGACTGAATTGTTCACATTTGAGACATTCAAAATATTTTGCTTATCCTGAGATCTCACCGAGATCTAAAGCAGGGTACTACTTGTACTTCTTGTACACCAAGAACATTGACGCAAAGAAAGAACGAAAGCATGGGAAACAAGAAAGAAAGACACAAAAAAGCCATTTTCCCACACAGAGGACAACACGGACATTAGTTCAAACCTTTCTAGTCTGCAATAATGAAAGCATGAAGTAAGTCTTACATCATTTCCTCTATATTATACACTGGTCATGCCACTGACCCTCCACCACCCCTTTTCTTCAGTACTCCCATGTACTTCTCAGATGAACTAACAGTGGTGGAGAGAAGATGCAGTTCTAGACATTCACAGAAGATGACTTTTCACACATATGCAGCATGCTCCCTATTTGTTTAGTGAATTGGTGGGTACACACAGTCTGTTCAAGAACGTGCTGTTAAAACAAACAGACACTGACTGCCTTTCATCTGAAGTGTGTGAGATTCTCAGAGAGAGTGACAGGAAACAGATAGACTATCATGTTCTGGATATGCTTGATTTAAAAGGTTTTTTTATTATTATGTGAAGGTTAGTAATTTTTACTGTAAAAATAAGTTATTTTCTTCTCAGATTGAATAGTCAATCACATTTGTTCTCAAGTGAATTAGCAACACAGAATATCAGATTATTATTCATATCTTCTGGTTTATGATTTTAAGTCTAATATTGAATATTTCCTCTGTTTAAGTGGTCACCGGAGGGTCAGATGGAATAGGCAGAGCATATGCTGAAGAGGTAACAACACTACCACATATGTAAAAACTGTCTCATGTCAATATTGATGTTAGATTAGATATTAGATTAGTTAAATAATTAAGAAGTATACAGTTAAAAGGTAACAGTAAAATGCACTTATATGCACAGTTAAAGTACACTTAAATATTATTTTTATTCAGCAAGGAAGCATTAACGTGATCAAAATTGTCAGTAAAGACATTCATAATGTTAAATAATAAAATGTTTATATTTCAAATAAAATGCTGTTCTTCTGAACTTCTATTCCTTAAATAAATCTGAAAAATGCATCTTGGTCTCCACAAAATATTAAATAGAACAACTGTTTTCAACATTAATAATAATAATAATAAATGTTTCTTGAGCACCAAATCAGCATATTAGAATGACTTCTGAAGGACCATGTGATACTGAAGACTGGAGTAATGGTAGGAATAAATTAAGTTTTAAAATATATTCAAATTGAAAAGGTTTTTTTTAATTGTTATTAGTATTTCTTACCAAAAATCTTACCAACTTTTAAATGGTACACTGTAAAAAATGACTGTGAATTTAACGGTAAAAGACTGTAAAAATGCTACAGTAAAAACCTGTTAAATGGTTAACGGTAAATTCCCCTACTATATACGGTGAAAAACTGTATTGGACATTACATGTAATTTTACGGTAGTATACCGTTTTGGAAGTGGAAAAAGACCGTATAATTTACAGTGAATAACCGTAAATTGACATTCCAGAATTCCCTGCATTACATTTCAAATTTTATATTTTTTTGTTGAAATAGCTGTTTCTTAGATTTTTTCTTATCAGTTTTGTATATTAGGGTTGTGTGTTACACCTAATGTTGTTAAATGAATGTTTATTGCATTATTTCATTTTCATGTGTGTTACCATGATGGTGTTTTGTGTTTGTGTGAATGACACTGTGCACCTTCTATATATGTTATTATTTAAAAGCTGCTTGGTTCATCATGTGACTTTCTCATCACCACCTGCATTTGGTGGTCAGTGTATTACAAAGGTACAAAACAGATTTCTGTACTTCAATGGGTATATTAACATTATGTCAGTTAATGAAATTACGGTATTTAACTGTAAATTAAGTTAAAACCGTAAAACCTTAAATGTTGCTAACGTATTTTTTATGGTAAAATTCCGGCAACCACAGCTGCCGGTTTTTTACCATAAATTTAAAAAACAAAATTTTACAGTGTAGTGTATATAAATACACTGACCCCTGAAAAGTTACACTAAATTGCTGCAGGGTTCCTGGAGTAGAGAATTGATTATGAAAACTTCTGTGCAATAACATGGTGTGCAGATTTCGGCAGTATTTATTTATAAAAACTAAATGATCTCTGAATGCTTTCTTCCACAAAAATGTTTGCACCAGTGAAGTGGGCCTTAAACAGGACATGTAAACAACCAGAAACAGGAAGTAATCTTTAGTTTACTTCAAAATTCTTTGTAAAGATCCCATACCACATAAAAACAAGAAATACACCAGCTCATCCCAAGTATCAGACTAGGCTGTTTCGGTAACACTGTCTTTTTCTGCAGCTTTCAAAACTAGGTATGAGCGTGATCATCATCAGCAGAAACCAAGAGAAGCTTGGCAGAGCAGCAAGGAAGATCGGTAAAGCGTTTACTGCTGGAAAATCTGTGTCTGTAGTCTTAGAGCTCAGTTTCACCAGTGTTCTTTTCTTGTTCTGACAGAGCTCACTACAGGACGGGAAGTCAAAGTAATAGCTGCTGACTTCACCAAAGATGATAGATATAGGCACATTCAAGAAAACATCGAGGGTTTGGAAATTGGTATTTTAGGTCAGTAGGTATCAGATATCTCATTGCTTCAGCGTATTTATTTAACGTTCTAACATGTTCAACTGTGCTGATCAATGTTACTTTTCTTTAAACACAGTGAACAATGTCGGGATTCTGCCCAGCCAAGTACCCTGCAAGCTACTTGAAACGCCTGACCTGGAAGAAGTGAGGTCATACAGTCATTATTAATGCTTTTAAATTATAAATCCTATAAAGAATATGCTACTGCCAGCTCTCATTAACGAAGTAGTAGTCTTTCAAAATTATTTGAGATATAGTAATTGAAAATTGCCCATAATAACTTTTTTGTAGTGATGCAAAGAACCATTTAAGTTTTTAAAAGAACAATTTCATTCTTAGTGAACACTATAATAATCTGTAGAAACTTTTGTGCATTGAAGAGAAACCATAGATGTTGCAGATTCTTCATGGAGCCATAGATGCCAATAAAGAACCTTTATTTTTTTAGATGTGAACAGTTTCGGAGTGTTTATCAGATATTGTCATTTATACAGTATGGTTCATGTTGTTGTGGCCTCTCCTAGAGAATACATGATGTTATCAACTGCAATGTGAAAACCATGGTTAAGGTGAGTACAAGCAAACAGAACATTACCACTCACCATATACACATTACAATGAGGCAGTGGTTAACAACTGTTGGGTTGCAGTAGACACACCCAAAATTAAGCTGTGCTCAACTTCTGACAGGGTTGCAGAAAGCAAGGAAACAGTTATTCTAATTGCAAATAATAAAATGCAACTGATTACATAATCATGTATGATTAGCAAAAATAAACTGGTTAATAAACTTTAAAAAGTTGGGGAGAAAACGCTTGTTGTCATTCTTTTGTTATCAATGTCAAAGGTCATGATTCTAATCAAAGATATTTTTGTAAATTATCATACTGTCATGTTAATAATTTTGCATATTCGTTAGGCCTATAGTTCATCGTAGTATTAATAGATTTAAATGTTTGATTTTATTTATTATTATTTATTTTATATCATTTATAAAAAAAAAAAAAAATTTTAGGTGATAAACAATTTTGAATCACCACCTGACATCAATCATAAAATCCTAAAGAAAAGCCAGTTGAGAGCAATTGGTTCTTCTAATGAGATTTAATAGTGTACTCGCATTGTTTTCCATATTCAGATGTGCAGAATTGTGCTACCAGGAATGCAGCAAAGGTTTGGCCTTCTCTGTTCAATAGTTTTCCCAGGATTTTTCAAACAATTTTTAACAAATGGCCAGCACACTGACCATATGTATTTCCTTAGAGGAAGAGGAGTCATTCTGAATGTGTCCTCTGGCATAGCCAAAATACCCTGCCCCATTTACACCCTTTATGCAGCATCCAAGGTAAACTTAACTTAAGACATCCGGAGCTGGTTAGATTACTTACAAATTGTAGTATGTTACTGATTCCAAATTACATGACAAAAATTGTAGTTAGTAACGTGATCCATTACATTATTATATTTTAGGTAATATAATCAGACTACTTTTTGATTACATTTGACCTAACTAATTTATCGCATTGATTTAAACAGGATAATATTGTACCATATTGATGTAAAAATACAAAGAGTAAGAAAATATATTCCATTCGTTTTAATTAACAACATGAAGTGCATTAAACATTACATTATGTCAAGGTTTCCCAAACTGGGGTTCATAAAGGAACTGCAGGGTGTTAGTGAGTATAATGAAAAACGAATAATTAATTAAATCATACTTCTAGTAAATACATTAGGTGAAAGAGGTTCAGATGACAAAATAGGTTGGGAATCCCTGCATTACATGTAAATAGGAAATAACATGAATTTGTGCATTTTAATGTGTTTGAAATACAAAAAATTAGGAATTAGGGAAAATCGATAAATTATGAAATATTTATTGCTATTGTGTGAATAATATGTAATCTTATAATCAATATTAAGTAACTGTAGTCTGATTATGAGTATTTTAAAATGTAATGTAATCTAATTACAAGTACTTACTTTTTTAATCTGATTACGTAATTCAGATTTCATGTAATCCGTTTATACCCAGCTCTGAAGACATCTATACAAAGTTGAAACGTTCTGTCTTTTTCTGCTATTCTAAATACTGTTCTGCACTGTACTGGCAATGTCAACATATCAAATTAAAAACATCTTCTCATCCACAGGTTTTTGTTGAGAGATTTTCACAGGGTCTTCAAGCTGAATATAAATCCCAGGGAATTATTATACAGGTAGAGTAAAAAACTTGTCATGCCTGCAAATGAATGCTAGTTATTTTGCTCTCTTTACCATCCACAACCTAGCTACACATCAGGCAAATAATGTTTTGTGTGTATTAAATGTACATACAGCTTACCAGGAGTAAGATATTACTGTCCTCATTCCCAAATGGCTGTTTTGTTCTCAGACGGTGGCTTCATTTGGGGTTTCAACATCAATGACAGGACATCAGAAGCCAGATATGGTCACATTCACACCTGAAGAGTTTGTGAGGAGCTCACTGAAGTATCTGAAGGCTGGTGACCAAACATATGGCAGTGTCACTCATACTATACTGGTAATGATGCAAATGACTTGCTTTACTAATAAATATGTAATATTATTAGGTATGTGCATGTATTGTGCCTCACCAACCTTTAACTGATCTATAGGGCGGGATTGTGCAGTCCATTCCCACCTGGGTCCTGCAGAGTGAAGCATTTCAGCATCATTTTAGGGAATATGTGAAGGAGAGGGTCGGAAGCTGAGAGCTGCATTCTATAAGTATATGTACAGTATTGAACATTTTATACTTAAACACCAAAAAGTGTGGGTTTGATTGCACCTATTATGACAATACTTTGTCAAAAATATAAGACTGGGAAAGAAATGGAGAGGAAGAAAAACTGACATGTCTTTGTATACCCACGGTACTTCAAAATACACTATATCAGTGTTGATAACGGAACATATTATCATTATTCATCATAATCATATCAGTAGACAGGAGATCGTTGAGCTGTACTGACCTTAATAACATTAACTGGAGGTCAGTCTCAGAAAGGCCAAATGACAGAGTAAGAGATGTGGCCTTGTTATTTTTGTCTATATTTTGAGATTAGAAAATGTTTGGTCTTATTTAAAGTGCATTTTATAAATAACATTATTATCCACTAAACACTTTGTAACAGATATTTGGCGCCACATAGTGGTTAAATGCACTTTGATGTGATGATCTTTAAAGTCCCCCTGTAGTCAAATATTTTATCCCTTAAAACTTATCTTTGATCATCAAAATTGCATATTTAAATGTTTTTTTCTTGTGAAAATTATTTTCTCATTCCTTAAAATAGCTTGAATGCAACTCTACACCCTGGCCTCATTTACTATACTCTGATCTATGAATATGCAAATTAGTCCCGCCTCCACTCAGTCACACCAGCCAGCGCCTCCTGATCCACTGAACTGTTGTAAACGCAAAACAATAGCATACACGGATAATGACTGATAAAACTATCTTTTTACTAAGTTACTTACTTGACGATGTTGTGTCCTAAAATGCCTTGAAGCCATTTGTGATTTTTAATTTGCACCCGCAAGCATACGCAGACGCGGGAGAGGTCTCCGGGCTACTTTTACACTGTTGCCACAGGTTATAATGCAAGTTAGTGGTTCTAAATTCACATTAAACAACAGCTTCATGGGTTTTTTGCTTTAATTTATTTTTGGTTTTGTGCTGGTATTGGTATATTTTGCATGCTAGTGATAGGAATCGATCCCTTGACGTGATTGGTTATTGGTTTGTGACGTAGCAAACCGAGGGCTGTTTCAAACCGTATTTCTGGGTCAGCCTTTGGGAAACTACAGTTTTAAGGAGAAAATACTCAACAATGGTGTTGATTAATAGATTGGCACATGGTTTGTCTAAAGGCATATTAAAAACACCATATAGACAAATAAACAACATAAAAAACTTGATTTTCACTACAGGGGGACTTTAAAGCTTGAAGGTGATGTAATTTTTTGATAATGTCGTTATCCCCTTATATCGATGTTTAAAAAAAGTGGAGAAAAAAAAAGTGTGTGAAAGTGACGTGACATGTGGCCAAGTATGGTGACCCATACTCGGAATTAGTGCTCTGCATTTAACCCATCCTAAGTGCACACACACAGCAGTGAACACACACACACACACCGTGAACACACACCCGGAGCAGTGGGCAGCCATTTATGCTGCGGCGCCCGGGGAACAGTTGGGGGTTCGGTGCCTTGCTCAAGGGCGCCTCAGTCATGGTATTGAAGGTGGAAGAGAGCGCTGTACATTCACTCCCCCCACCTACAATCCCTGCCGGTACGAGACACCACAACCTTTTGGGTTACAAGTCCTTCTCTCAAACCATTAGGCCATGACTTCCCCCAATTATTTATGTGACTAATCACTGTACCCACAGCAAAAATACATTATGAAAATGCTGATATGCGGACAGCACTACAAGAATGAGCCCAAATTATTTATATTAATATACATATAAAAATGTATAGCCAGCAGAGGGCAGATTTTTGACTCAGCATTACAGAACCTGAGGCACATCAGCTGTAGTGATTGAATCTCTCTGTGGAGTCCAGTTTCAAGTCTTGAAGATGCTGAGCAGGTAAAGGATACAAACAAGTGCAGTCTGATGGGGGATTTCCACCGCAGATGTAGTTGTTAATAAAGTTGTTCACCCTTGAGCGAGCTGTCCTGATTGAAATACAGTTGACAGGATAACTATCAGTTTTCACTTATATTAAAAGGGTTTCTGTTTTTACTACAGGGAATTTCCACTGATAATTTATAATGCTACTGCTTGTAACAGAAAAGGCATTTATGTGGAATAAAACTAAGGAAATAATTAAAATAATCACATTTTATTTTCCTCACTAACTTGGTAAGCTATGCTTGCTCTGATTGCAGCAGTGGTGTCTGAAAATCTAATGTTTTTAAAAACAAGTGGTGGATAAGTCAAGATTGCAGATCATCTTATCAATCTGTGGGAAACCACCAATTACCTCAATACAATTTCCTATGGTTTAAAACATTGTACAAACTACTCTTATACCCTGTATCTCGAAATAGTCACACTTTCACTGACCCTTAATTTTGCTAGATGGCTATTTTGTTTCTGTTTCATTAAATTAAATAGACTGCTATATAGCTAACTAATCTAAACTATTAACTATGATGCAATGTGTTTAATAGTATTGTGTGATATAATCATTGTTATAGCTCGCAGATACAAAACAAGCACTTGCATATCATTGCTCTTTTGTTGGTTTTGATTGCTTCTATTGTCCTCATTTGTAAGTCGCTTTGGATAAAAGCGTCTGCTAAATTACTAAATGTTAATGTAAATGTTTACAGTATAGGGCCACGTAGGTTTGGACAGCTTTTTTCCCTTAATAAATGAAATAATCATTTATCATTTACTTGCATTATCTTTGTGTAATATTTAAATGTGTTTGATGATCTGAAACATTAAAGTGTGACAAACATGCAAAAAAATAAGAAATCAGGAAGGGGGCCAACACTTTTTCACACCACTGTATATATATTAGGGATTTAACGATTACTGTTTTGACGATAAATCATGATAAAATTCCCCACGGTTAGTATTAACGTTTCATATTTTAATTATCATTAAAACCGTATTAGATTATCGCGATTTGAACAACTCACGATAAATAAATACTGTACAGCATAAAGCACAGTTTTAAGTAACAGATTTAACGATTACTGTTTTGACGATAAATCATGATAAAATTCCCCACGGTTAGTATTAACGTTTCATATTTTAATTATCATTAAAACCGTATTAGATTATCGCGATTTGAACAACTCACGATAAATAAATACTGTACAGCATAAAGCACAGTTTTAAGTAACAGTCTCACGTGCGCACAGCACACAGAGTAGTTTCGTTTTGAGTGAAAACAGGGCGGAAAAGCTGGGAGGTTTTAAGAGTGCTAAGGGAATTATACAAATTAATATATGAATGAATTAGTTATATGAATGTACCTCTGAAGGTTCTGACTGTCTTCAGAAACGATTCGATGGCATTTTGTTTTCATCTTCGCTTCATGTAATACCTAAAGGAAGTGTTCTTAATCGCAATACTGCTTTGTCCACAGAGTTTACGGGAAACAGCTCTAATTCAGCTTTTCCATAAGCGCCACCTACTGTCAGCGAGTGGATTTACAGAGACCTATATTTACATTTAGCCCGTGTGCAGTTTCTGTCTGGCTTTTTTTCAAAGCTTTATTTGAACATTTACATTAGATATTTGAACATGCTATTAAACTGTTGTCAGTCAAGTTGTCATTTAAAATCCGGACATCATTGGTAATGTTATTGTTTTAGTGATTATGCAAACAAACAGTCATTTTATTTGTTGTGTGTTGATTTTTAAATATAAAACTTGAAGTGATTTATGTGTCTGTACTTTTTGAACATCTCCAGCACATTTTAACAATACCGTGATAATACTGATAACGTGATTATTTTGGTCACTATAATCGTGATAAGAAATTTTCATATCGTTACATCCCTAATATATATATATATTAGAAATGCACCGATTGCAATTTTCTTGGCCGATTCCGATTTCCGATTTATTGGAAGTGTGACCGGCCGATACCGATTTTTGCCGATTCTGATTTTCTTTCTAAGAGCTATGATTAATAGCATATACAAACAAAAATCTATGCAAATTTCAAATCAAAAATTATTTACATAATAAAATAAATTATTAAACATTACAATTCCCCCAATCTGGACTAAGTTACAGATTTTCTCTCACTTAAACAACTCTTAAAATAAAGTGCTCTGTGACTGGAAAGAGGAAGAAATAGTTAACTGAAAGTAAACTTAAGTTGCTGTATGTAACAAAACAGATGTCATTTCCCACTATGTTTATAAATGGTCATTTTTCCCCTAACCTTATTAAATGTCATCTTTCACATCAAATTCTTACTTTGTTTCAATTAATTCAGTTAGAATAATAAGAAACTGTAGAGTTGTTACCATTCAAAAGAAATTTCAAGATTCATTCAAAAACGAGGCAAGTGACTGTCTTTATGAATGGGCCACTGAATCATTGACTCACTCGATTCGTTCAAAAACGTGGATTAACGAAACACCGCTGTGTGTTGCTCGGAGACACACAACAGTTCTGCTGTGGCTTTGATCTGAACTATTTTCGTCAGCGAAATTGAGCAAAAACAGTCAATATTTTGTCTAAAATCTAAGTCACTTAATTTTTACTTCTTGTTTATTGAAATACGATTGTATAACACGATGCAATCGTGTTGATATTGATATTCGGGGGAAACATCATGGCCGTATAACGTTGCTTACCTAAATCATATTTTGTAAATATCTTTGTTTTTCTACGCAGTATGCATCTATACATTTCTGTGAGTTACTTTGTGTGTGCTGTCTTTCTCACACACTCACTCAGGCTGTGCAAGCCTCATCTGGCACGACATAAATACATTATCAATCGCCATTTACACTGAATGCAATTAAAATTAGAATCATTCTCACACGAAACGACATGTTTACACGCGCCTGTGAGTGTGCGCGTGGCTGTGACGTCATTGCCGGCGCCGCTGGCATAAAAGCATCAGCTCGGAATCGGCAAGTCACCGATCCAGGCCGGTCATGCTAAAAATCAGGCGATTCCGATAATGCCAAGTTCACACTGCACGATTTTAGCCTGATTTTTCACTCGCCGGCAGGTTTTGCGAAATCGCCGACAAATGCCCAAAATCGGCAAATCGGTGCTCGTTCATGCGAGTGACAATCACGCAGTGTGAATTATCAAAGACACGATCTGAGGGAATCGCTGATATGTCGCGATTCACAATCACGCTGTGTGAAATGAGTTCTGACTGAAAAACACATCGGCGATGATACAGGGTAGCGGGAAGTTCGGGGAGGAGTTATATGAAACGTAGTTTGCGGACCAGTGTTGCCAAATCCGCGATTGCCGCCGGTTGTTTTTTATGTCCGCAGGTTGAAGTGACCCCAATAACGTGATGTTTAGGCCCTGGAATGTGAATTGTACCGGGAGAACCCCGCCAAAAAAAATTGTATTTTACCCCCGAACGCGATTTTTACTGGGGGACCCCCTCGAAAGCAATTGGGCTATTTTCAGGCTAGTTTTGAGTAGTAATCGGGTGTGTTTTGTAGCGAAAACCTGGCAA